CGCCCCACGGCCAATGAAACAGATAAATAAATTTTCTGCCATGAGCCGGGGTTCGAACTCGAGACCTTTGCATTGGAAGCTCAGTGCCCTACCACTGAGCCACCCCGCTCCCTCTCCGCCTTAATTAGTCTAGGACATTTTTTCTCATCTATCATGATACAAAACATAAAACGTTGCCTTGGGACCTTTTCGATCTGCCGATACTGAGCGATTTTTTCGAATTGATTGATATAATTTCGTTAATTGTGGACAGTACTGTGTTGAATTAATCGTTTCTCTTGATACCAATAGATTTAAAAAAACAATTTTGACATAAGCGTTCGGTTAAGGGATCATTCCCATAAACAAATTTTATATTTAATTTATTATTAAATTTAATTTATATTTAATGATACCAATATTATATCTATTGATACCATTAGATTTAAAAAAACAATTTTGGCATAAGCGTTCGGTTAAGGGATCATTCCCATAAACAAATTTTATATTTAATTTATTATTAAATTTAATTTATATTTAATGATACCAATATTATATCTATTGATACCATTAGATTTAAAAAAACAATTTTGGCATAAGCGTTCGGTTAAGGGATCATTCCCATAAACAAATTTTATATTTACCTTATTTAATTCATTATTAAATTAAATTTATATTTAATTTATTTAATTTATTCCACAACAAATTTTATTATCAACTTATCCTTTTTTTTAAAAAAAAGAACAGAAAAATATGGTGGTAATGAATGGTATTTTCTTCCATATTGACACTTCAATAGTAAACAGAATCATTCTAATTTTAACAAGAGATTGCAGAAGTTTTTGACATATTACAAATAGGAGAAACAATCTTTCTTATGAATTAATTCGTTAGATAATCAGTATGTAGTACTGAATAAAAATAAAAATAAAGAATTAATCGTAATAATTCTTATAAAAGTGTACATTGTATCTCAAAATGAAAATAAATGTACATATGCAGCTTTCAACCTCTTCGCTTCATAAAGTTTATTTATCCTGTCGGTTTTACCGAAAATATTTTCCCATTAATGATAATCGAAATGAGAAATTAAAAAAACAAACAAATGAACTAAGGTTTGTGCTTTAGATCACACGATAAAAGTGAAAACATCAACAAGCCAAGATTAATAATATGAAATATAAATTATAATAGATCATTATAAAGAGTTTGAAATGCGGAACTCGCTTACAGTATTCAGGTCCGATTTTTAGTTTCTGAGATATTTGAATCTTGAATCTTCAATAAAAGTCGTTATCGAATGAACAATAGTTTTGAAAATTTCTCAAAAGACAAGAACTGAACAGAAAATCTAAAATTTCAATTGACAACAAATTACAGATCTACAAGACAATCCTGAAATCTATTTCTACATGCGGACTAGAACTGTATGGGACAGCAATATTTTTAAACCATTCATTCCATTGAGGAAGATAGGAGAGATAATAATAAGGCTTAGCGAACCCGAAGGTTCGATGCCGATCCCACCAATCTATGTCCACATTCTTCCATCCACCGGGCTCCGTCTAAACCCAGCCAGGTCCACCCCTCGGGCGTTCGCTAGTCGGTACAGCGCATATTTTAGAATTTTATTGTTACTTTCGTTACTGATCCCAATGATTTTGAATGACCATTTTATTCGCCTCAACTTAATCACCTCAATTATATTAACCGGATACAGTTCACGCAATTCAGGATTGTATAACCGCCTAAATTCTTCGGTTGACTCGTTCTTTTTCGGTCCGAATACTTTATTTTCAAAAACTTTAAGACGTTGCTCATCCCTTACTGTAAGCGGCCACGTTTCGCATCCATAAAGAACTGTGGGTAAAGTAATGGTTTTGTAAATTCTAACTTTTAAGCTTCGGAACAGGAGGCGGTAACTAAGTAATTTGACAAAGAAAAATAACAAGTATATCACGCCCTCAGCCTGACCTTAATATCCTCTCCAATTTCGTTTTTTTCTATTTATCCTAGATCCTAGATACCTAAAATTCTGTACATGTTCAAACATATTCAATTCTATATCGATATCATCGAAATTATCGCTGTTTTTGCAGCTAGCTAAATATTTTGTCGTATCCGTGTTTATTTCTAACTCTAGTTCTTTACCAGCTTCTATCAACGTTGTTGTATTTAGTTTTATTGTTTCCATGTCTTCGTTTAACAGTACCAAATCATCACCATATCCAAGCACGGATATTGTTCCACTCAGGTTCAAACCTTTTTCGATATGTATCACCTCTCTAATGGCATGTTCTTATGCCAAATTAATCAGCACAGGTGAAAGAGAATCACCTTGTTTTAACCCAGAACGAATCTCAAATTTCTAGGATAAATAATAACCGATTCTAACTTTAAAGGTTAGATAGGAGAGATAGGTAGGGGATAATAAGGAATGTTATTAATAAGATTCTTGGAAACAATGAGAAATGTATTGATCTTCTCAACGTTCAATCTCAAATCATTTCTTGCTCTCCACGTGCAATTACTGTCTATATCTTCTTGTATCCTTAAAATCGACTCATGCATCTAGGTAGGAAAGGAAGTCAAAGATTTGGAGGTCATCAGCATATAAGGCATAAGGATGTTATACAGCCCACTAAACAAAAATAATTGAAGAGAACGATGGTTAGGATGATCAGTCAAATACTATATTTATTTTTTTATTTATTTATTTATATGATACTTACAACTGTATACAAAAATACATCTGGTAAATTTGCACACGGCTATAATGACATGGAACACATGTTGAGAAACTACCCATGTAGCACTCTAATAATATGTCTATATTAGAAGATCATCTTATTTTCAGACGCCTCGGAGGGTTATCAGGAATTGAATAGGAAGCAAGGTTAGAAACAAGAGAGTTGGGATGGTTATGAAGTTTACTATGGAAGGACAGATATCTGGATTGGGCCAAATCTGATACATAAGGAACATTAAGGTCATTATGGATAATTTTATTTGTAACAAAGTAAGGAGCATTGAAGATTTTACGAAGGATTTTGGATTGTAAGGATTAGATGCGAGAGGAATTTGAAGGTTTGGTAGAGCTCCATAGCTCATAGTCAAATACAAAAAGGCAATAATAAATAATAATATTTATTTTTCAATTTGCCGACGTTTCGGCCCGAAGTTCAGGCCTTCATCAGGGCTGAGAAAAAAACCAGATAACAATAGGTATGAGAAACATAATGAATGTAGGTAGAAAAACTTAAAGTAAAATGAAGTAGATAATAATTTCGTCAATTGTGAACAGTACTGTGTTGAATTAATCGTTACTCTTGATACCAATAGATTTAACGAACCGATTTTGACATAAGCGTTCGGTTAAGGGAAAATTACCATAAACACAACAAATTTTATTATTACCTTATCGTTTTTTAAAATATACAGAAAAATATGGCGATAAGGAATGATATTTTCTTCCATATTGACACTTCAATAGTAAACAGAATAATTCTAATTTTAACAATAGTTCGCAGAAGTTTTTGACATATTACAAATAGGAGGAACAATCCATCTTATCAATTAATTCATTAGATAATAAATATATGGTAGTGAGATAAAAATAAAAATATAGAATTAATCGTAATAATTCTTATAAAAGTGTATATTGTATCTCAAAATGGAAATAAATATACATATGCAGCTTTCAACCTCTTCGCTTCATAAAGTTTATTTATCCTGTCGGTTTTACCGAAAATATTTTCCCATTAATGATAATCGAAATGAGAAATTAAAAAAACAAACAAATGAACTAAGGTTTGTGCTTTAGATCACACGATAAAAGTGAAAACATCAACAAGGCGAGATTAATAATATGGAATATAAATTATAAAGAGGTTGAAATGCTGAACTCGCTGACAGTATTCAGTTCCGATTTTTAGTTTCTGAGATAGTTTAATCCATATCTTCAATAAAAATCGTTATCATTTGGTTTTCGACCCTTTTCTTTTATTTTTCGCATTCCTTTGATGGCACCGCGTTAATATACAATTTTGAATAATAGCCCGTTACAGAGAGGATGAAATGTTGAACAATTCGCTTGCTTACAGAATGCAGATCTGATTTTAATTTTTGAGATATTTTAATCCATATCTTCCATAAAACTCATTATCATTTGGTTTTCGACACTATTTTATCCCTTATCGCCTCCCTAACATGGCTTCGCGTTAATATACAATTTTGAATAATAACCCATTGCAGAAAGGATGAAATGCTGAACAATTCGCTTGCTAACAGTATCCAGGTCCTATTATAATTTTCTGAGATTTTTAATCTATATATTCTATAAAACTCGTTATCATTTGATTTTATACACTATTTGTTCCTTTCTCGACTGCCTAAAACGGCATGGCGTTTAAGATACAATTTTGAATAATAGCTCATTGCAGAGATAATGAAATGCTGAACAATTAGCTCAAATACAGTATTTACATTGGATTTTTAGCTTCTGAGATATTTTAATCCATATACAAGAACACTGCAATTAGTCGACTCAACTGATTGTACCCGAGCGTTACACATCAGAAATCTGACGGCTCAATATAATTCACTCTCTACACAAAAAGTAAAAAACTCGCCTAAAGAAGTTTTCACTTAAAAAAAAAGATCAATTTTAATCTTATTCTGTCGCTGATTTACCCCGAGCCAGATACCTATCCTTTCATGATAAACTTCATTCTCATCCAAATCCAGCCTTGCTTCTTCCTCGATTCCTGATAATCCCCTAGGCGCCTAGGGCAGTATCTCTTCAAGTCTGTTCATGTCATGATTTCTAATGTGTGCATTTTTACTAGTTGTATTGTTTATACAGTTGTAAATTTCATTAAATAAATAAAATAAAAATAATGAAAATCTTATTCTGATTTTATATAAAAATAAATTATGTATTATAAGATAGACTCCTCTAACTATCTCTAGAGGGCGATACTTGGACAATTTCCATCGCGGAGGAAGCCGGACGGGGGAGGATGGAATCCTGTGGAAGACGACCAGTTAATAACCAAAGTTGCCTGCGGCTTGTCCCGGAATCCTTTATTATGTCCCCAGGACGGCCGGCTGGTTGCTGAGGCACCAACCCATCTTTTATATCTTAGCAAGGATAATAACCCTCATATTACACATATCCTTTCCTCTAATAGTTTGGATGTTTAAATATTTTAAACATCTTAAGCTATATATAACTATGAATTGAAAAAAGAAATAGAGAAGGAGATGATCCGGAGTGGTGGTCACAAAAGACTAAAATAGTGAGAAAAAAAAAAACATTTTATTTCAAGCTAACGTTACGACTCGACTTTGCAAATCTTCTTCAGGGCTAGAACGAACATGACACAAAATGTATATCATATCTATAGAAAAATGTGGAAGATACATAATTTTATTGATAAGCTAAACTTAATTATTTTAATACGTTTATACAGTCTGGTATCTTGGATTTCTCTTAGATCGGAGACTAATGTGGAACCCAGATACTAGACTTAAAAGACAAGAACTTAACAGACGATACGGCCAATTATACAATTATACTGAATAAAAATTCTCACCTTTCAATTGACAACAAATGACTGGTATACAAGACAATCTTGAAACCTATTTGGACCTACAGACTTGAACTTTGGAGGACAGCTGAATATTTTAACATCAAACGCATCCAATCCTTTCAGTCCAAAATCCTCCGAACAATAGTCGATACTCTGTTCTATGTAACCAACAAAACTCTACACCATGATCTTAATATCCCATTTGTCCTCGACCTTATCCCTAAAAAAATTTCCTAATTCCGGTTTTCCTTCTATAGTTGGAGGGGAAAGCCTGGCTTAGGGTTCTCTGCCTAATTGTATATATTGTATATTGGTATGACTGTGTTTTTATGTTTTTAATTTATTTATCTTTAGGTTGTTTTATTTTTTATTGTACATAGTTTTTGATTATTATTTTACTTTTGTTAATTTTATATTTTCTGTATATATGGTATAAATGTGTTATATCATATATCACTATAATTATTGTCCACGTGACGGATTGTTATATTTCTAAGTAAATAAATAAAAAAAAATTAAAAAGAAAAAAAATACTTTTGTATTTTCTTTTTAATTTTTAACTTGTAGCAAGCTAAAATTTGTTATCAAATTCGTTAAGCAAGAAGTATGACACTATGAGGTAAATTTGCTAATGTGCTGAAATTTTTTTCTTGTTATAGTAAGGTTACACCTGTACAGTAAAAAAAATTTTGTGAGTTCTTAATTGATTTACTAACGTTTTGATTTATTTTTAAAATGGCTGAATTGATGGATCATTTGGTTTAAAATTCTTTATTAGAAAACATGAATGAAGATTCAGATGATTCAGAAGGTGAAGAACTTGATGAATACATAGATGAAATCCTAGCTGTCTTTACATAATACTTCTGCGGATATTGTACTCATAAAAAACAAATAATCAAACATATCAAAACCTTACAATAACCTTCTCTGTGTATTTACGAAGTTAGTAACACTTTTCAGGACTCTAGGCTGTGTTAAAATCGAGAGTGCTAACAGCCATATTTAAGATATATTTCGTAAATAATTCTCTCGACTAATAAGTAGTTACGGGTAAAAGTCGGGGATGGAATGATTTTTGTTCGATGTTCGGAGTAAGAGGAAATCGGAATAAATCTCGATCTTAAATTTGTCATCAATTATCATTTGATTCTATCGTTGTTATATATATTTTTAGTTAAAAATTAATATAAATGATTTTGTAAAGAAAATCTAGTTCCCTATCAATCTAGTCCATTACGATTCCTCAAACGGTGGCACATTCCCGCGAAAGATCGCCGATAAAAGACAACCCGAGAGGTATCACCTTATCAGAAGTGATAAAGTCATCAGAGCTCCATTAAGGCCAGGACGAGATGGAAGCGAAGAGATTGCCGATCTGCCGTCGTTCCAGGACATGTTGGCGGCGATTATTGTAATCGGAATTAGCACGCCCGTCCTTGATCCTGGGGATCCTGCAAGATTACAGGATTATCCTGTCGAGTCCTGGCTCACTTCTGTTTGAGCGCTTTGTGCCGTCCATGGGCTATTATCATCCACAGAAAGGTTCAGTTTCAACTCCTATAGAAAATATTTTTAACATTCAGATGATTTTCTGATTGTGTAGAAGACTTACTGTCGCCAATCAAAGAGCGAATTTTTTTTTATTCAGAAATATAATAATCTGTTAAAAGGGGCACATTCACACCATATATACAGAAAACATAAAATTAACAAAGTACAATAATAAATAAATAATAATAAATACTATATACACTAAAAATTAAATTACTTAAAGATAAATAAGTTAAAATCATAAAAACACACTTATCATAAAAACACAGGACTTAAATGCAAAAGTATATTGGTTTTACCAATTATTAATATATAGTAACGAAGATTGTCAAGTATTAGTGACTATTTTGCCTTAATTTTTAGTTAAAAAATCGATTATTGTACCAGTCTTGGCCTTGCTCTTGCAACAGTTAGGCGGCCTTGGTCTTGGTCTTGTACTTTGCAAGACAAAGACCGATTTTGGGCAACACTAGTTACATAGAACGGAGCAGCAAAATTTTCCTGTCCACCAAAGAGTAAAATTAAGTTAAAAAAATAAATTAATGTTTTCTTAAACTCATTCTTCAGAATACACGTCATTCATTCTTTAAGGGAAATTCCAAGAATTATTTTGAAACAAAACAGAGAATACATGAAGATTGAAGACATGTATTATCTTTAGAAGATATTAAAACGGGAGTGAATTTCATTAATTTTTTTTCATGAGACCGAAGATTCCAGAGCTGCCTTCTACAGAGAAGATGATCTTTTGAAATAGCTATTTCATCTTCTAACTGCTTCCCAGCAATTATAAAAAGTTCGTTTAAGTGAGATCACTATAGAGTAATATAGTCTGGAGAACTGGTTAGGAAATACTCTATTAACTCTTTATGGAGTGAATTGAATATTTATTAATTTATTGGAAAAGAAATAGTTAAGTATGGATAAATTCCCGAACTTATCCATACCATTCTTTCTTTCAGACGAATCCGATGCCACCAATGAATTCAGCGCTGAGTTTAGGAACATACCTAATATATTAGGTCATTTCATATGAAACATCAGTTTTCAAAGGAAAGATTATTTAGTAACATAAATTTATGAATCAAAACATTTTTATTCAAAATTTTAACGCTAATTGTCTACACTTACCCTATGAAATTTACATTCGTTTGTTACTTCCATCTTTAAAATATACTATAGCTAAAAGCCGGAAAAAATATATAACTACCGCATTAGATATAGTGTTGATTGATAGTGATTGATTGTGTTGAATTGTTGTTTTAGCTTAAAAATTGTATATTGGAGGAGATCTCCATGACGTCGGTTTGTTACTGAATCAGTAATAAAACAATGGTTTATTATTTCCAAATAATTATACATTTAAAGTAACATTAACTTCCTAGTGAAAGTGCAAAGTGCAAGACTAAGACCGATTTTGGGTTACACCAGTAATACTCAATAAATACATTTTTTAAAAAGTTATACTTTCTTGCTGATATTTGGGCTATTGCTTATATGATTTTTTTTTTTTTGTTCATGTGATATGATATCACTTTTTTAAATATATCCATCTACTTACAGGACATCCTATATGTATATATACACACACATTTATATATATATATATATATATATATATATATATACGTCTGTAAGGAGACCACATTTCGCGGCCAAAGATCTTCATGATCTTTTGTGCCAACCGAAAAAAAAAAAAAATCAAAACTAATTTACGGCTCAATCTAATTTACTCTCCACAAAAAAGTGCAATGCATTTTTCATTTCAATAAAGATTTTTATAGTAACTTAAAAAAAATCACAGGCTAGGGAAAAGGAAGACGTGGACCAGTATTGACAAAATATATAGAGCACTAAATACAATACTTAGAGACGCGGTAAATGGAAAGTAAAGTATATGGAGTGACCTCTGGAATTGCCTCTAATTGGTTCCATCGGTCGGTTAGCTATCGATAATTGGCAGCGCTTAGCCTCTTATCTCTGCCCGCTATCGGATCCCTCCTTCTCTCGCCCTTGTTCTTTCCAACAGTAAGACGATGGAGGAGGTGGACAGGAGAGGTATCAACAAAGGACAGTTTGCCGAAATGATATTGAACAATATATTAAATCATTCAGACTTATTTTGTTCGATTTCCGTAAAAAAAAAGTCAACATATCGAATAAGAAAAACTTGATGCAGTGCACGTATACTACATTTTTCACTTATAAGTAGGACTCATTTAATACATAATGATGTAGAGATGGTTGACCGTGATATAATATGAGAAGGAGTTTATAGTGGGGGAGGGGGGAGGGATAGAGGGGGTCAAATAAATACCAAAGTATTTTTAATTATTACGCCGACGTTTCGACCCACCTTGCAGGTCTTCATCAGGGATACAAAATATAAAAGGTACATGGTGAAAATAAAATAAATGAACAATAAGTAGATATTAAATAAGAAAAAGTTGTCTGATAAAGAAATAATTAGATGATATTAGAGATACAGTGGGTGACAGTGTAGTTAGAATATCAAGTATTGTATATATAGAAGATACAAACAAAAACAGAAAATGAGTATGAATAAAAATAGAAAACAAAGGAGAATATAGTAAGTAAGCTAAAAGTAAACATATTGTGATAAAAGATAAAAATGATAATAATACAGTTATCAAATGTAATCTTTATTAGTTTGTTATAATTTGTTTACTTTTAACTTACATACTATATTCTCCTTTGTTTTCTATTTTTATTCATAATTATTTTCTATTGTTGTTTGTATCTTCTATATATATATAATGCTTAATATTCTAACTACATTGTCACCCACTATATCTCTGATATCATCTTATTATTTCTTTATCAGACAACTTTTTCTTATGTAATATCTTCTTATTATTCATTTATTTTATTTTCACCATGTAACTTTATATTTTGTAGCCCTGATGAAGACCTGCAAGGTGGGTCGAAACATCGGCATAATAAGTAAATAATATTATTTCTATAATTTATATTTATTTGACCGCACCCTCCTCCCCTCCCCGATCAACTCCTTCTTCTCATTTAATACATATATTTATAGATGGCAAAGTAATTGACTGTTGAAATTATAAGAATGAAAAAATTGTGAGGATTTACAGACGATTTCTCGAAATGAGTTGGCCCACGTCCCGAATTATTATTATTCAGATTCTAATCATTAAAAAAAAAAAAATTCGTCTACATCGTAAAGATTCTTGGAATTTATATTTATGTTCGATCTTAATGTTGTATATGTTTCTGATTTGGCCCGATCCAGAAACCTATCTTTCCACAATAAACTTCAGAACTACATTAATCCTCTCGTTTCAAGCATTTCTTCCTCTTCGATCTCTGATAACTAGTGTTGCCCAAATGCGAGACCGAGACAAGTTTTGGTCCTGCAAATTCAGTCTTGTCATGGTCTTGGTCTTGCGCATGAGCCTCGCAACATTCTTACAGTTACTTATTAGCTTACTACTATAGAGATATTACTGTAATCTTTTAGATAGGAAGAAACCTAACTAAGCCGAATGAAGAATTAGAGGAGTTAAATGCAAAACTATATTGGTTATACCAATTATTAACATATAGTAACTAAGATTGTCAAGTATTAGGAATTAATGGTCAAGTATTTTGCCTTAATTTTTATTTATAAAATCGATTTTTTTTATTAGTTCTGGTTAACCCCGAGGTGTCTGAAAAGAAGATGGCCTCTTGATCTGCTGAGTACTACTAATGGCTAGATTCTCTTGAATTCTTTGCATGCTATTGTATTTCACTATACACATTTACTAGATGTATATTTAATTTATACAGTTGTAAATTTCATGAAAAATTAAAATATTTACATTAATGTTAATTAACTAAAAAAGATATATATATATATATATATATATATATATACATAGAGAGAGAGAGAGAGAGAGAGAGAGAGAGAGAAATAAAGGAGTGGAATCTGCCTATAATTAGGACCAACGACAAACGAGGCTGCTATCTAAGAGATAAGCTGATTGGTCAACGGCTGCTCTTAAACCGATTGGCTCCTCTCTATATCCACATATCTTCTTGTTAGCTCTATCCTCATTGATCCAATTCTTAGCAGTGTCTTCATTAGTAGCTCTTATTGGCTAAAGGTCGTATTTCGAGTTTTAGTTCAAGGACTCCTTTTTAGGAAAATGGGTATGTTATGGTTGTAACATCGTAAAGTTACGAACATTACATTCGTCCTACGTTCATCCTTTCCAAAGACTACATTGCATGCCTCTTCACTACTAAGAAAATGTATTGTCCTCTTCCTAATAACTGTGCAATCCTTCCAGTCTAAAGTCCTTCGTACAATAGTAAATGCTCCTTATTATGTTACATACAAAACTTTCCATCATGATCTTAACATCCCTTATGTCCTTGACGTTATTCCGTCCCGTTTCTCAAATGTTCAACAAAACCTAATCCATCATGCTAATCCCTTAGCACAATCCTTATCTAGCTGCAGCCATACCTACAATCCTCCACGAAGGTTAAAAAGGCAGTGGCCTCGTGATCTTTTGTAAATAAGTATATGGCTTTAGTGCCCTTTCTCAGTCTCCACTGGATCCCCATCTCAGCTACGCGGCTGAGAGAGAAGTGCTGGGATCTCTTAGAGTCTTGCCTTATCTTCCACACGTGGGAAAAAGAGCCAGACTTGGAGCTCCCTCGGCTAACTGTAAATAAGGATGAATGTTTTTTTTTCTTAATTCATTTTTTTTTATTTGTGTTGTATCATATTTTATTTCATCCGTTTTATTAAGCTTCCTTTTTCTTATTTTTGTTATAATTTCTATTATTTTTGTAATTGTATATATTGTATGATTGATTTCCTCACATCTGAAATACTGAATACCCTTTATCGAGGCGAAATGTATTTTTTCTCAATAAAATAAGATTTAAAAAATAAATAAATAAATAACTAAC